TGGAGTATTTACACACTGTGGTATTAGTACTTGAGTTGAGTTGATCCAGACTGTGGACAGATAGTTAGCTAACTATGAATCAGGTTAAAATAGTCTTATATTATATTTTGTATATATTATTGAGTATATTGAGCTGTATGTGAAACTCACTCACAGGATCACAGTAAACACACAGTTTAAAGTCAGTGAGATTGAGAGTGAGGCAGGAAGTGAAAGGAAAGTGCTACTTATTGATTACTGATTGTCACAGTCAACATGAGAATGACATCTGGAATTCATTCTTCAGTTATGGACTGTGAGGTCACAGCGACCTCTGACATTTGAGCGAAACATAGTAACCATCTCCGCTTCCTGAGTTACGGTGAATAATGTACAGCACTTTATGATGTCACAGTGGAGCTGACCTATGACCTTTTGGGTAAAACATGTCACCACTTCATCTCATTATTCTTATCAGTTCTTGAGTTATAAGCGTGCTTCTCCATCTCATTTTGGGCTCAGTGAACTTTGACCTCTTAGTCAAAAGTGTCACTAATACAGCTGACCTTTGACCTCCAAAATCTGAAGGTCGCAGCGTTCATGAGGCGGGTACAGACTCACATGGCGACTCCGAAGAACTCGTGTTTGGCGGTGGAGACGACCACGTCGGCCTGACTCAGCACCCTCAGGTAGTCCTCCTTACTGGACAGGAAGCCCCAGTTCAGGATGTGAGTGTCCAGCTGACGTCTGGCCTCCGAGAAGATCTCTGCACAATTACAGCAGGAGAAAAAGAAGGTTGTTATCAGGTTACAGAATATTTCTAGTTTTAACAGAATATAAAATTTTCTCATCGTTATTACAATAAAAGAGGACCCGGGATGGATCCCTGATGAACTCCTGAGGAACATCAAAGTTCCTACAGTTGATGTTTAAATGTTTCACATCCATCTGCTGAAAGAGGAAAGTTTCTCTGAGCTCACTGAACATCTGATTTTAATGGGAAGGGCCTACCAGCATGTGACATCACAAATAGTTGTGAGGTAGAAGGAGTGGATGACTTTGTAAGACGTTTAATGTGGAAACTATTAGTGCTGGCCCTGAATATGTTATAAAAAGTCTCAGTGGACACTTTAAGTCTGACAGTCTCAGAGAACCAAACCAACGTTAAACTGCGTTCAGGAGCTGCTCCTCGTCCCCGGGACCAAAGGATCAGAGGATTGTTGCAACACGGACATTTTCTCTTGTAACACAGGAAGTCTCTTACTGCTGCACTGCTGCATATGCTAACTGTACTAGCTGCTATTAGCTGGTTAGCAATCCTGTTAGCTGTCTGTACCCGGACTGGGAGCCCGAAAGAGCCACAGAACCGGAGCGGGGCCCAAATGAACCACAGAACTAAAGCGGGGAGGACCAATGAAGGGCGGCTGATGTCCAGTTGCTCCAACCAGGACTCTGACTCTGGGGATGAAGACCTGGCGGGTTCAGGCAGCAACAGGAGAGGAATGAAACGGAGGAAGAGGAGCCAGTTTGTAGCAAGTTAATTTGTAAATAACTGTTAACGTGATATATTCATCATATCG